AAAAAAAAAAAAAAAATTAAAAAGTGTTGAACAAATTTCGGGCGAAAATAATTCCGAAAAAGAAAAGATACGAAATTTGTAATTAAGATTTTTGTCTTTTTAAATGTTGCTTGAGATACAAATTGAGATACAAATGCGCAGCGCCCAGAGCTGAGCACTAGACCAAGTCTCCAGCCTCCGTTTGAGCCTCAGCCTCGGCTTTGGCATCATCATCATCATTATCATCTCTCTCTCTCTATCTCTCTTGGCCGTTCATTGCTCCTCCAATTTATTGTTGTTGCTGTTGTTGTTATTATAATGTGTACTAACAGCAGCAACCAACAAGCAACAACAACAACAACAGCAACGATAAACAGGAGTTTGTTGTCGTCTCTCGTCAGCTCTTGGAATTTGTGACTTTCAACATGCCGATAATAAAAAAATATACAACAACAACAGTAAACAACTAACAACAAACACATTCGACGCTGGCCATCAAAACTTGTGATTGGTTTTGTTGCTGTTGTTGTTGTTGCTGCTGCTGCTGTTGCTTTCGTCTCTTAAGACATTTAAAGCGTTTGACAAAAATAATTACCACACGAACAGCCACACACACACAGACACACACAGTCACAGACAGACACTGGCCACTGCCATTACACATTTCGTTTTGTTACCAACGTTTCTAATGACTCGAAGCCATAAAATCGTGAAAAACAAGAGAGAAGTTTTGAACCAATTTCAAGCACCCAGCAGAAGTTTCAATAGATTATTGGGGAAATTGGCTTTGGCAATTGCTCGAATGCCTTTTGGCCCACTGTGCAGCTGGTTGTGGATGCAATTGATCCTGCCGAGTCAATTTTACTGATGATGCTCTTGTATCTAGAAGATACTTTTGTGTCTCGCAGCTATTTTAGCCAATATTTGATCTTAGTTTACTGTAAGCATAACAAATGTAGTAATGACTCACAAAAGATACATTTCTATCTGAAAATATTCTTTTTCATATCAAAAGATACTTTTGTATCTTATGAATTTATATGTATCTCGGTGAGATTTTAGAGCAATTGCTTTGGCGTATATTTGCTAACGCTTCATTACTGTAAATATGAATTAATATGTTTTTGTATCTCACAGATACTTTTGTATCTTTTGCTAAATATATTGAATTTTACTGTGGAATATTCTGTCAGCGCTGTTAGTTTTCCTAATTGATAGATATTTTAATTTAATTTAATTTTAATTTTAGTTATTTATTTTAAAGATACTTTTGTATCTCGTTGGCATCTCAAAAGTTCATAGATACTTTTGTGTTGAACAAAAAACTTTTGTATTCTTCATAAGTAATATTGTATTTTATGATAGGAAAATGTCTCACATGAGATGCAGAGTGACAGCTCCTGCTGTATCTCACAGATACTTTTGTATCTTCTGCTAAAAATGTGTCATTTTCCATGCAAAAAAACGGCTCATAGCTTTGCTCTAGTATATAACAATCTCTCTGATTAGTATCTCGCAGATACTTTTGCATCTTCAGCATGGCATTAGATCGTACAAGTCCTTAAACCATATCAGACGCCACAAGCAACTGCATTCTCATACAGACCTCATGCACTTGCTCATGCCGAGGCCCGTTCACCTGCCAAGTTGGCCGGATTAGAGTATTGCCACATCAAGTACATCGCCGCTCAACTGGGCTGTTGGCTATGTTGGGCACACACACACACACACACAGAGAGAGATGTGTATTCATTTATGTATGTTTATATGGCTGACATTGGCGCATGTGTTTGTTGAACATTTGAGATTGATTCCGAGCGATAGCGCAATAGAGGGGCACCCAAAGGCGGCTAACAGCAGCGCTGATCGCTCGACATGCGGCCGCGATCCCCATCGTCGCTTTAACAATTGTCCCCATCGTTGTCCGCTGCCTGCCTGCCTGCCTAGGCCACCCCGCCCCGCCCCGCCCCGCCCCACTCCTCACGCTACACTTTGGCCATCAATTCTGCGCCGCTCGTCAGTCACAATTACAGCGAAACACGGCAACAATAAAAACCAAAAAAAAAAAAAAAAAGACAGAAAACTGAAAACTGAGAAAAAAGCCACTTGGACTAGCTGCCGATCGCCGCGTGTTGTCGTCGTCTTTGCGGCTTTAATGGGGGCCCCCGAAGAGGCGAGCGGCCGAAAAGGCCGTAAAAGATTTTGGCCAAGCAAATGAGCAAATGCCGCTGACCAGCGCCCGCTGACGTTTAATACAGATCTCCGGCGACTGGGCAGCACAGTGATTCACGGCCAGCAAGACGAGTAGCCAACAGCCGAGTGCTAGTCCCAATCTGATTTACAGTTATCATATAAAATACAATTCGATGTACGCTGGAGATATATGGATATGTATTTATGTCGATTCGATTTGCAATATAAATTTGCCCAGGTCAGCCTCCATTCGCACCACTGTGCGTGTGTCGCAGTGTCTCCACGATTTAATTGCGCAGCAAATTTCAAATCTGTAATTGGCATGGCTTGCTGCGGCTGTCATCTCGAGGGGCCGGGGCCGGGGGCGGGGCAGGCAGCGCAGTAAACGTGCAACGATGATAACACAAAAAGTCGCAAAAAGTTGCGCAATTTTTGCAGCTGTAACAGCGACACCCTGCGCTGCCCACTCAACCGACGCCCATTTCTCGCACTAGTCTCTGATTAGGTTTTTGCCATCGCCTTGAATTACGCCCGCCAACAGCCCCCCCCCCCCCTCCTCTCCTTCCGCCTGCAGTCCACGTCCCTTCGGGCTGCCCCTGCTGCGCTGACCGAGTGACTTTCAGCCACATTTGATTGACATCCGCGACACTTTGGACTCGCTCGTTGTCCGTTGCCCGTTGACAACGGAGCTGCGGCGACTCGAGTCGAGCCGAGTCGGGAGCTTCTCTCTGCCTAGCGATTGACGACAAAATCAGCTCGAGATCCGACGGCGAAAATGCGTCTTTGCTTAGTATCAGATACTTTTACACTGCTTGCAGGGATTTGCTTAGCTAAAGATACTTTTGTAACTTAACTGAATTACAACTTAAAGTCAGCTGCATTTCTTGCATTGATTTTCTTAGTGAAAGATACTTATTTAACCTGAAAAGATACTTTTGTATCTCGAGTGAATTTTGGAAACTAATCTCGGCTACTAAGATATGCCTTGAAGATACATTTGCATCTCAACTATTAAGATATGCTTATCTTAACTACTATGTTATGCCTTAAAGATACTTTTGTATCTCAGCTACTAAGATATGACTTAAAGATACTTTTGTGATTTGCTTAGTCAAAGATACTTTTGTATCTGAAATCAACTTCCAACTCAAGTTCCGTTATCCTTTTATGCTTAAAAGATACTTTGCATCTTGAACTGATTTGTTTGAAATCCTTTAGCAAAAGATACTTTTGTATCTTGAGTTGAATCGCTTAATAATAGCAAAAGATACTTTTGTATCTCAACTACTATGATATGCCTTGTATCTTAAAGTGATTTGCTGGCGCATCTTTAGTCAAATATAATTTTGTATCTAGAAACATCTTTCCCTAGTCAAAGATACTTTTGTATCTTGGCTTGAGCTTCTTTTGTACAATGAGCTTTTGTATCTTCATGATGATTTGTTTGAGTTACAGATGCATTTTGCATTTCAAATAGACTTTCATATGAAGCGACGCGTTTAAGATACTTTTGCATTCTTTAGATACTTTTATATGCGAACTGCACTTGTATCTGACAGATACAGTTTGTTCCATTTAGATATGATGATAGATTTAAAGACTTTTGGCCTTGTTAGCTACATTTAGTGTACAATGATGTTTCTCATCTATCTTGAAGTGACTTTTAGCTACATTTATATCTCTTCCACACACACGCACACACACACACACACACACACACACACACACACACACACACACACACACAAATGTCAATCCAATCTAATCCGCGACTTTTCCCTTCAACTTCTTCTGCTTGCAGCGCGAACCAAGTCCAAAACCAAACCAGGAACAATGGAGCACATTATGAATCCATTCATGTCGTCCGCTTATCTGCTGGGCCACCCGCATGCCCATCCCCACTCGCATCCCCATCCCCATGCGCACTCGCACATGGGTGCCAAATCGCCAGCCAGCTCGCCGGGCACAGCGGGCGTCGCGGACCGCAGCGCCGGCTGCAACAGCAGCGGCAGCAACAACCACAGCAGCCACCACAACAGCAAATCCAGCTCACACGCCAGCTCAAAGCCGAAGCGCTGGGGCTCGCCGCCAATCAACCTGGCCGGGCAGTTCATCAATCCGGCGACGGGCAAGAAGCGCGTCCAGTGCTCCATCTGCTACAAGACCTTCTGCGACAAGGGCGCCCTCAAGATCCACTTCTCGGCGGTGCATCTGCGCGAGATGCACAAGTGCACGGTGGACGGCTGCAACATGGTGTTCAGCTCGCGGCGCTCGCGCAATCGTCACAGCGCCAATCCGAATCCGAAGCTGCATTCGCCGCATATTCGCCGCAAGATTTCGCCGCACGATGGACGCACCGCCCAGCAGTTTCCCGTGTTCCCGGCGGCTGCGGCCGCGGCCGCTGCATTTCCGGGCCTCCTGCCGCCGCCGCCACATCACCCGCACCATCCGCACCACTCGCACCACCCCCATCATCCGGCCGTGGGYTACGGCCCGGCGGCTGCGGCGGCTCACGTCATGTTCGGCGGACAGTCGGGTCTGCATAGTCTCGGCCTGCTCGCTGGCCGCACGCAGCACGAGCGGCTCTTTGCGGAGGCGGACATCGATGCGGATGGGGATGCGGACGCGGATGTGGATGGCGATGCAGATGCGGACGCGGATGCCGAGGATGAGGGCGTCTATGTGTATGTGGACATGCATGCCAATAGCTCCAGTCCAGCTAGTCAGGATTGTCACAGCGATGCAGATGCTGATGCGGATGCGGATGCGGATACCGAGGCGGAGGCCGAAACAGAGCTGCACTGCAGCCTGAGCCTGGCCAGCAACACCAACAGTCACACCAGCTTCGATGAGGAGGATCGCGCGGAGCAGCCGCTCGACTTCAGCTTGCACAAGCGACGCGAGCCCGAAGCGGAACGTGAGAGGGAGAGGGAGAGGGAACGGGAACAGCCACAGCCACAGCCACGGCCAGCTGCTGCCGAGCCAGAGCAGGAGCTGTGCGATGTGCGTCGCATCAAACGTTCGCCCAGCCCCTGCGGCGGCAGCGGCTTCTCCATGGAGCGCCTGCTGGGCAAGCGTCGCCGGCACGACAGCTGCGCCTCCAGCTCGCAGGAGTCGACGACGACGGCCATCAAGATGGAGCTGGAGCTGGACAGCGACAGTGCCGATGCAGTGCATCTACCCACCGACCATGCCCACGATCTGTCCACGCCTCTGGCACGCAAACACCTGCCCAGTGGCAGCGCCAGCGGCAGCGGCAGCGGCTCTCCCCATCCCGCCCATGCCGCCCACGCGCCCCCAGCCCCAGCCACACCGCAGAGCCCCCAGCCCCAGCCCAATGCGCTCGCCGTCTCGGGTCATGCGCTGGCTCCGTCGCCGCCCTCGCTGCTCTTCGGCATGGACCTGGAGGAGCAGCATCATCTGCGGCTGCTGCAGACGCAGATGTTTGCGGCCGCCGCAGCAGCCGCCGCCAGCAACAGTGTCGCCCAGTCGCCCGGCGCCGCCGCCGCTGCGCCCTGGAATCTGCTCTCCGAGGTCTATCGCTCGATGCTGCTCAGCAGCAGCGGCGGCAGCGCCAGCATCGCCGGCATCGCTGGCATCGCCGGCAGCAACCTGAAGGCGCCCCAAGCGGCGCCAACGACGCCGCAGTCGGCGCAATACAGCGACATGCCGCCCACCAATGCCGCCATTTCCGTGTAAGCGAGTACGCCGGAGGATGGACGGAGACGCAGAGAGATCAAGTAATTAGAGGAGAGCCGAACATAGGAACAGTTCTCAATTGATAAGCAGCAAACCCCCAGCGCGCTGCTCGCTCCCCCTCACCATCCCCTTCCCTCCCATTTTTTTTTGTGTGTAGCCATGAAATGGTTTTTAGTGTATCCCAAAAATTGAAATTGAAATTGAAAATGAAATTGAAAATGAAATTGAAGTTGATTGAAGCTGAATCTTGATCTTGATGAAATGATTATATTGGTGCCGTGCCGCACTTAGCTTTTCTACTCGTACTTGTGTTATATATAAAAACAAATTTATTATTATTATTATTCTTTTTTTTTTAACAAATCTATTGCTATCTCTATATATATAGATAAACCTTTTTTTTTTTTTTATATTATAAGATAATGCGACATCTAAGTGTATAGTATTCAATCCGTTCCTCAGTGCAAGTGCACCCAGTGTGGTCCAAAGAGTTTGTCTGTGTGTGTGTGTGTGTGTGTGTGTGATTGCATGTGTGCGTGTGCGTGTGTGTGTGCAACTCTTTCGATCCACTGTACGGCGTACAACGAAGTATTCATATTTATATGTATCCACACATATACATATACATATACATATATATATTAACTAAAAAGCAAATAATATATTATGTAATTTTAAGTGCAACAATTTTTTTTCATAGCCAATAACTATTTGTATTTGTAACTAACTTTATATAGGCATATACCGCTATACATAAATATTATTATTAAAAAAAACATATCTCGTGTGTTTATGCTCCCCGTTTTAGTTCATAGATTACTAAACGAATTCTACAAAGCCCGCAACGAACATGGCTAAGTCTAAGATATTTGCTCTTTGCATCTACCCGAATAGATCAGATCCATGACTGTTTAGTAGAAATGTTATTGCTCTATCGAAAATCGAAATATGGAAATATTGAAGTATTGAAAAATTGAAAATTTGCTCCTTAAGAGTTTTATTGTGTATTTAATAATGATATTTCATTTGAACAATAAAAACCAAACAAAATTAAACAAAAATTGAAAAAAAAAAAACAAATGTCTTTCGACTTGGGCGGGATTGAACCAAACTGAATGTAAACTAAAGTCTATTATATTAGATATTTATTGAAGAGGTTTTGGGAATTCGAAATTTCATATAGATAGATACATACATATATTATACAAATAGAAATGAATAGTATCTTATATACTGTTAGCATAGATGAATTTTTCTCAAATGTGTTTGATGAAATATTTTTCGAAGAGTTCTTAAATCTAACTCTTGAATGCATAGGGAATATGTTTGAAGCATCAGGGAAATATGTTGGAATTTTATATGAACCCTACTGGAACTATATTAGAACTAAGCTGGCTATAGCACTTTGAGATAGAGAGATTATGAGAGAGATAATTGAAATCAGAGAGATAAGTAGAGAGAGAATAGGAGAGAGAGAGAGAGAGAGACAGAGAGAGAGAGAGAGAGAGAGAGAGAGAGAGAGAGAGAGATTAATAAGATTTTTATTGTGGATCTCAATAAGAAAGAAAATGCAACTAATTTGGATAACTAACTTAATCAGGAATTCGAGTAAAATCAACACTTAAGTGCACTCTCCCTCGCCCCCTCTCTGCCTAATACAATGGTATATCTATCTCATCTGGGCGTACTCATATTCAGATTTGTGGCATTTCTTGAGGAGGCGTGACATTCATATCCAGGCTACTTTTGGGTCTGTCTGACTGGTCGGATGGCAACCGCATTATCAACCACATCATCATCATCATCATCATCATCATCATTATCATAATCATAATCATTATTGTATACGCTAGGCAGAGGCCACTTATGAACAGATTACACGACGGCAGGCAGGCAGGCAGCAGGCACTCGAATGCCATATGAATAGAACATTGCGTGGCTCCAAATGCCGAATTCTAAATTCGGCACATAAAAAACAATTCAATGGAGTTTCAGATTGAGATTCCCAACTGAAGCTGGAGATGGAGCTGGAGCTGTAGCTGTAGCATAGTTGCGTGAAACCGAAACCGAAACCGCAAAATTGACATGAATGCGTGTGGACTGTGAAGAAAATGTCAAGTGGCGTCGCGCGAGGGGGAGCAAGACAACAAAAAAAAAAGCAGAAAACGAAAAGGATATATGACTGGCTGAGAGTGTGAGAGAGAGAGAGGGAGGAATGGAGGGGGCTAGGCACAGCGAGTCGAGCAATCCGTCAGTGTGTGTGTGCGTCAGTCAGACAGCTAAATGCTTGCCACATTATGAGATGATCCTTGGCAGCGTTGTCACTTGAGACACCAATACAGGCACACACCAGCACACACATGCACGTACACACACCAGCACACACATGCACATGGCAACCACAATGACAACGACAACGTGGCTCTGTGAAATGGCTGCTCTCATCTCTGGGGATCTATTTACTTTTAAGTTTTTCTGAATTGGATGATGTCACGAGGCGGGAGCCATCAACGGGGGGCGGTGGTGGTGCGGTGCGGTGCGATGTGGTGCGAGTGCGAGTGCGAGTGGGTGACTTTTGTATTCAAGTGGTTTGGCAATGCGACGGAAGCAAAGGAAAAGGTTTCGCTTCGTGCCTCGCATTTTTTTTTTTCATATTTTTTATTTCTTTCTCTCTTTTCTTTTGGCCTTTATGAAATATTAGAAAAATTTACAAAGCGTTAAAAATTAACATTTCAAATGGGATTGCGATTGGGATTGGGATGTGTGTGTGTGTGTTGGTGTGTGTGTGTGTCTGCCTCTCGTCGCTGGGGGGATGCAAATGCGTTTATTTTTGGAGACAATTGAAAACCACTCGAGGGTTATTGAGATGTGACAGTCAAGTAGTCGGAGACGCGGGCACACAGACATAGACGAAGATGGAGCAGCTAGGGCGAGACAGAGCCAGGGCGAAAGACAGGGAGAGAGAGAGAGATAAAGCTGATTCGCAATGTCGAGCTAACTTGACGTTTGAAATAGGATCAACTGCTTAGAAATTTTGGCCAGCGCGAATTCATTTGGCAACAGCTAAAAAACATAGATATAAATACACGCACACATGTGCGTCTGCTCGTGTGTGTGTGTGTGTGTGAGTCAGTTAGCTGCAGATACATTTGCATGCTGCTTGCAGATACATCGCAACACTGCCCAATGCCACATCAAGTGCGGCACTTGACAGGCGAATGACACTGCCAAAAAATAAAGGCAAAAAACTTGCTATTCAAGCTAGAGCAGGGGCAAGGGCTGCAGGGGGAGGCGATTTTCGAAGGGATCAAAGCGGCAATTGATAATTTGAAAACCATTGTCAAATGGCCAGCGCAACGCTTGTCATTTCCCAGGCCAACATTTTGCATAAATCTAGAGAGATTTCAGCTAAGAGAAAGAACTCTTCCCCTCTATCCAGATGGTTCGATAGATGCTCAAGAGTCGATGAGGGAAATCGATTTCTTGCCACAAATCCTAGTGCAACCGTCTCAGATAGTTCACTGTGATTAGCCTAATTGAATCAAGTCGAGACTTGTTTGTGGCAGGCCGATGCCTCTCTCTATATATACGTACATATATCTGTCTATATATAGATATCTAGTTTGTCATATGCCTGGCTTTGGGGTCACTCGATCAACCGGTTGGCCGACGCGACTGATAAGCTTCTGTTTAGGGGAGATGCAGATGTAATTATCGTAAAATGCATTCAAATTTGGGTAATTGTCGTTGCCAAGAGGCAGCCAAGAGGAGCAACAACAACAACTGGCAACTGGCAACTGGCAACAACTGGCAACTGGCAACTGGCAAGAGCAGACGGGTTAGCCGACGAAGAGACAACTTCGATTCCAAGTAAATAAATATACTTAATTTTAATGACATAGAAATTGCTGGTAAAGTGCTCGCTGATTGAATCTCGTTAGTTGCTCGTGTCGGAGGCTGGGAGAATACCAAGAAGCGGCCTCGGCTCGCTCTCAGTACTTGGGCAATTAATTCGACATTTTAATTTACATTTCATGGGAACATGAAGCAGACACAGGTGACTGTATCTAATACACTCTGTGTGCGTGCGTGTGTGTTGATGTGTGTGTTGGTGTGTGTGTGTGTGTGTGCGTGTGTGTGCAGCCCGAAGTAAACGAACAACTTTTGGACAAGTGGCAGCAGCAAAAAGACATCGACAGTTGCTCATTTACCAGCTGCCAGACACAATCTGCATGGGCAATAGGCGAACTCGGAATTCTGTTGAAGTTTACGAGAGTCGAATCAAAGATCTATCTCTTTGTACCACACATCCCCCCCTCCACCCCTCTCTATAACCATCTCGACCACCATCTCTCCCTCTCGCTGTCTCTTTCTGTCAATATCAAGGTTAAATATGACGCATTAAGCATTATTCTGACGGAATTGTATTCGCTTTGGTTTCTTTTGTTGTTGTCTGTAGTTTACTCTATATAAATCGAAATATATGTATATAAATATATAAAAAACTTTGTTATTTAATGGCCTCTTCAATTACATAGGTTTCATAGATTTTTATTGCATTCTGATTCTGAGCTTGATTGATCTGAGCAACTAAAGGTGAAACTAGTTGGGAGAGTCGGACCAAGAATGGTTTAGAAGAAATCTTTTCAAGGGGTTTTCTCTTTATAAAGCATAGCCACTGTATATGACATGTAGAATGACTTAGCAGGAGTGATATTATATCAAAATTTAAATGGCACAGATTCAATACATTATCTGAATAATTATTAATAATAT